ATTTTTGCACTTCATTTCTCGCTCTACTTCAAAACCTGCTCTGACTTTCCGAGCTGTTTACATCTCCCTTAATTAACTACGACATCCCTTTTTACCAATTCTAGAATAGCATTGTGTACAGTCCCCTTTCAACAGTGCAGACCAGGAAGTAATTTGGCAGCAGTTTCAACACCACGGCTTTAGTGCCACAAACCTTTATCATCCTCATTCAACAAATATGTGACGACGCCACATGCCAAGTGTGATTCACAATGGAAAGCTCAGTGATGCCTTTGAATCAAAGACAAGGCTGCCGCCTACTATCACCGATCATCTTACTGATTGTGGTCAACTGGGCTGGATCACGCAACAAACTCTGAGGAGCGAGAAGAGCGGTACACACTGTTTGACTAATGAATAGACCCCACAAGAAGATTTGGATTTCGCCAATGATGATTTATGTCTAATGTCGCACAAACTCAAAGATCTACAGCCAAAAACCAAAAAGTTGACAGAAGAGGCAGCGAAGACGGGACTTCAAGTGAACGTGGAGAAGAGAGAGGTGGTGAAGGTACCCAACCAACAACAAGCGCTAACCACCATCAACGAGAGAAACCTAAAGGAAGTAGACTCTCCCACCTACCTGCTTGGGCAGCATCGTTTGAATTGAATTGGGTGTACACTGAGAAGACCGATTAGGGACATCACGCGCCAGGCCAGTCCCTTGAGTGCAATCCAAAGGGGAAACGACGAGTTGGGCGTCCGAAGCGAGGGTGACATGGAGGAGATTATGTGAGGAGGAAATGAAAGGTTCTGAGCATTCGTGGAGCCAGGTTGGGAAGACTGCAGAGAAGAGTGAAATAGAGACGTTCAACTGAAGCCCTGTGTTCCACTAGGAACCCATGGGACAAATAATAATAATTACAATCCCCTTCCCACTTACGTATATACATAAATTCTCTGCCATCTCTAGAATGTTCATTCTATCGCTGTATACATAGTTAACCCTTGAGTCGTCTTAACTTCATCAATGTCAGTCAACCTCCATCTTTATTTTTCTACAGTCGCATGTTATGGGAGTTTGCCACACATTTCGCAAAGCAACGGCTTAAATATCTACCGATGCTGAACAGTAATTAACAAATAATAGTGTTAGTCAAACTGGTACTGACATGTGTACAAAGCTATGAGCCGTACTTCTTCTGTGAGGACTTATGATACCATCTGGTCAACCAAGCTAAACGTCGGCTTCCCAAACCAATGAGCCACATCCAAGCTTATTTACTTTCATCAGCATTTTGTCACTTTCTCTACTCACTAGTTGTTCAACCTCTCGTAAAGAACTGCTGCAGTTTTACTACACAAGCTACTGAATTATATAAAGTTATCACTTAAAGTCTTCCTAAGCGAGATGTGTGTTGTCAAGCTTTCGGAGTCAATCACGAGAAAACTCTAGAGCTAGTTTTTATGATTGTTGGGTATCATCTGAAAGGTGGTCGCGATCTCGAGGGAAATGATATTCCAGCAAAATTTGAAACCATATAGCCGCAACCAGACACGCTACCACTAATTTTCAGGCTGAATAGCTTAGGTTGCCGCTTCCTTAAAATTCTAACCCTTCTATGTAGGTATCAGTAATCTTGATTCATCATTAGCCTACCTTTAACGTCATTACAATGGCAAAACTAGATTCAGTCATGCACTTTAAAGTTCCTACTGATGTCTTGAACTAAAAAGGTGTTCTTTTGTATTGGTTCAAAATGCTGCTTCTCGGTTAACAGACAATCCTTCATACTCCTTTGAAATAATAGCCTAAAGCGATGAAAAAAATACTGATTCAAACTAGGGATTTATTTGATTATTAAAACATACCTAATTCTACTCCATTAAGTATGAGGAACACTTCCAGAAACAGTTCAACTGGCCTTTAGTTACTCTTTACTTGCCTACCACTCAGTTTCATCCTCAACGGAACATTGATATAGGATATTGAACTCCTGCAGAAGTTAAGAAAGCTTTGATTAACTTAAAACGAGGAAATACAACAAGCCCTGATTGCATAATACCAGACGTATTTGAGGATGGTGAACGAGGGTTATTTGTTAGATTGAATGGTGTTATCTCGTGTGTGGGAATCAGATACGATTCCCTTGGAATAGTTTAAATCGCAGATTGCCACAGTCTTCACAAAGGCAGAGAAATCTTATTGACCAGATATTGTCGTCTTGACAGGTTAAGTAACAATTTGAAGATGTTTGAGACGTCTCTGCAACGGGATACAAATTGTCGCTTCAGGATTGGTCTGCGTTGATACCTCGTCTAACAATAAGGAGTGAAGTTGTTGGGCTTGTTCATTACTTCACTTTGGAATTCAAATCAGCTCTAGTGATTCAGTATCTTATGAAAATTCCTATCAACCAATGTAGAAAATAGCAAAGAAATGTACCAGTTCCATCTGACACTTAGCAGTAGTATGCAAAGAAGTGGCAAAAGAATGACAGTGAAATGAAGAAAAGTGTACGATAGGAGTAAGAATAAGTAGATGAGTGTTAGTATTAATTTTAAAATTTTGAGGGTATATACATCTGCACAATTTTGATGGATTTTCGGCCATAATGCCAAAGATTGACTGATGGCAAGTGTTGAAATCACCACCCTTAGCTTCGTTCCAGAGTGTTTCCTGCTCCACCTGATATCGCGTTTCACGATGTGTTGGTTAGTAATACACAAAACACAGCCAAGCCACGTAAGACGATGAACGTTTATATGGTCGGCCGCACAGATACATCATCACCATCAAAAGACTCCGTTTGCGTTTGCCAATAAACACCATTTATGGAAACAGGGAGTTATTCAACGGCTTACTTAGGACCAGATGTAATTCATAGCAGTTCGCTGTTTTACTGGCTGTGAAAAATGGCCGTTAAATGTAGAGTATACTAATTAGTACCAGGTGTCCAAATCCTCAAGCATTTGTAGAATTGGCCCTGTCGTAAGATCACCATATTAGTAATCTAGAAGTCGGGCAGAGTCTTAGGTAACAGATGTAAGTCGGTTGTAAACCTTCATCGACTTAGGTGGTATGTGCACTTGTTACGCATGCCTGGCCTCCAACTGCTTCAACGTACGTTAGCCTATGCAGATTTAGACTGACAAGGGAGGTTGGACTCGGTAGTTAAAACGCATAAGAGGACAGCTGAAGCTGCCTTTAGTAGCAGTCGCAATTTATTCCAGGTGGTAGGACTATAGCTAATTGATCTAAGAGGCCGATTCATAGAAGGCATATCGTGGGTTCGAACCTTGCTCCGCCTACCGAGTTCTGGGCAACGTGACTTAACGTCCTGTGTGAATGTGCACAAGTCTGCTGGGTTGCATTCCACTTCAGAGCCTAGGCAGGTCATACGGAAAGAATGGTAGCACTGGAAATACACCTACGCCATCGGTGACCAATGATCATGTAATCTAATTCAGTAGCAGAAGGAAGACATCACTTAACACGACAGCAGTGGTTGGGCCGCAAATTAGGGTTCACTAGAAGAAAGTAGTATTCTGCACATAACTGCAGAAGGTGGTCTTTATCATCGCGTCTGACACCGACTAATCCCTGATGGTCATCTGGATGACCCTTATCTGTGCCTAGATCGCAGTCAGCACTCCGAGGTCTGTTGAGTGACCTTGACTGGGGTCATTCATTCGGGCTGCAGTCTGCCCGAGAATTGGCAGAGATGATAAAGAGGCATCGTTTGCATTATCGGTTACTTATTGCCCTAGTCGAGACTTTTACTCTGACAAAATATAAACGACTGTCAGTGGGTACCCACTCAACTACTTCAACTTTGGCGTTTAGTGTAACACTAACCCTGAACATTGGTGTCACAGCGTCCCAGAACATAAGCAAACAAAATCAACGTAAAACGTAGCGCACAAGTACACCGGTTTACGTTGACGCACTTCATAGTAGTACATAAAAAAGTGTATAGAAACAGATAGATATCAAACTAGAGACAGGTGTATGGGAAAAACTTAAAATATGAGGTTAGTCAAAATATTCAAGCTTTAGACGTTTGAAGAGTGAACTCATCTGAGCCACTGTAACCGATCTCCAGCGATTTCACCAAGAGCCCTTAAATACTGATTGCTAGAGTCTCAGGGACCCCAGACAAGCACGGTGAACATACTTTTTGAACTGACGGGTGAAAAAGACATTCGGAGCGCTTCGTTAGAATTTTGTGTGTATTTGAGGTACAGCCCACATTAACAGCAAGATTCGCTAGTCTTAGCCAAACGTTTGTATTCCGATCTCATCAAGGTCCAAACAATGAAAACAATCAGCTTTGACAGTATGTGATCTCAAAATAATCAGGTCAGATATTGCACTGGAAGATAGCTTCATGGAAGCAACTCTTTAGCGACTGAGGATGGAGCCAAACGACGATACAAAGAATTTCGAAAACGACAACGGTTAGACAGTATAGTTGAGTGTAACAATAACGAGTCAGAGTAGAAGATTTGATAAGCACCTTGTATACTGAACGACAGATAAAACACTAGGCTCCCAAAAAAATCTACCTACTGTGAAGTTATAAGAGTAGTCAGTGTAGCTCGTCTAAAAGGCTTTGTGAGCATTCAAAACTCGCCCTTATATAAAGCCCTCGTAGACTAAAAGAAATGTACTTCATTTGAGCGCCTAGAACTAAGATTACATCTCCCTATACGGTTTGATTACTTCTACTGAAGTAATCATATAGTAGTACCCAACAGACGTGTTAAATGGCAAATAAAAACTGTATGAGTGTTTGAATATGCCCATCAATGCATTTCAAAGTGGCATGGCATAAGAAATTGAATCTCTCCACACCAAACTAAATATCATACCCCGAAAATAACTAATGCGTCCCAGCGATTAAATTACAGTAATCTTATCTCCATTATTCTTAACATCTATGACCTCACTTTGTAAGCTTCGATCCAGTGTAGAAAAAAACCACTTTTGGGCATAGTGATTCAAAAGATGTACGGATCCAAAAGAACACTTTTCTAATCCGAAATTTTTGAGAAACAGTGTAACGCAAACTTACGTAAACGAAATGCATAAAATATAGTAACTCAACAAAATAAGGCATAAAGAGAATAAACATAGCACCCACATGATGTAACTGGGAAGAAAACCAAAGAATATTTGTGGCTGAGTGACCAGCACTGAAGACAATATTCACAAGATCCAGAGTCTCCATAGCTCTGAGTAACTCTATAAAACGGCATATTTTACAAAGATGTCAGTCCCAGGTGTTAACAGGGAATTTTAGACTATGTACATTATTCAGCGAATATGAAAATTACACACAGGTCTTGTACAGTTAAAATGCATGAGACCTAGAAAGGAATGAATTGATCCGACAGGATCTGTAAGTTTAATCTGGGTACAAAAAATGTTTTGAAAACTTAAAAAAGGATATTATTTCTTCAAGATTCCAATCGTTCGATCTCTTCCAACGTTTTGGCTTTGATCTCACTGAAGGTCGAGTTAACGCCAGATGGTTGTTTGAGTCTTTCCCATTCCATCAGCTGTGAAAGTAGAGTTAGGTTATCATTATTTGTTCGACCACTGTTAGCTATAGTTTGTTGTTGCAACTGCGTAGAAGCTAAACTCGGGTAAGCTGAAATGTTGTTAAAAAAAGTGGTAGATGGCAAAGACAGACTAGGATTTTGATATAAGAATGAGTTCCCATAGTTTAGCCTGTGACAAGACAGAGCTCCAGAAGAGTCATTCAACAGATCTGATGACTCATTGCTGCCAAGATGATACTGTTTCAAATTCATACCGAGAAGTCGGCGACTGACTTCTAAAAATAAATAGCCAAATTTATTATTGAATATATTATCTGTGGTTCAAAGCGAAAAATGAATAGAAACTCAGTGCTAGACTGTAATAAAAGACCTTTCACGTCGAATGATAAGCTTTCTCACGTACAAGAGGTTGAAGCTATTGTTAGACTTTCATCTTTTAACAAATAATTAACTATGATACGTGAACTGAAATATACACACTTCACAGAACAAACCGTTCTTTTATACTTTATGTTTGGCAACGATAACTGAGGCGGCTGATAGAAATCTGCGACCAAGGATCCTACAAAACGAAGACTTAGATACCAAGTTCTACGTTTCTTCAGAGTAGGAAGTTGATTTTAAGATTGATAAATTCGTTGACTGTTTATTTCTTTTCATACTGAGTAACAGGAAAAGGCATCATTCAATTAAAATTACGCTATTGAGATAAGATCAAATATCAAACTGATAGGAAGATCCCTTTTTTAGTCTGTTTATTAGAAATATCACACAGTGAAACAGTAGCATTTGCTGGATAACGTTTCGATAGGTCATATATACGAAACTGATCTTGTTGCGTATGATGAGACGGTATTGCCATTCGGAACAATGAGGCTGGTACAATTTCAAAGACAAGTTAGGTGACCAACACACTTGCTCAGTTCACTTCATTTTCTGACTAAGTGTAGAGATGCAGACATGCTGAAGTTGAGTCTGCTAGCACGCAATAGGCGCATATACGACTGAGAATACGCGATTAATATTAAACTATTTTACAAAATACCAAAAGAAACGCATGATCATCTGAACGTGTGTGTGTGAGTGTTTGGTATTTATTAAATGTAAGATGAAACTGGAGGAGTGGTCTTCACCAACATTCAAGTTTGTAAACGGTCAACCAGTCAACAGTAACGCTAGCTCACATTTTTATGCTGACTATAAAGGTTGTCACACTTTACGCCAGCAAATCAGGTTATAAGACAAAAATGTGGAAGATAAGAAAAAAAGGAAGGAAGTAGTCAGTGATAGGTAGTCGCAGAAACATAACAACTTTGAGTAAAACAAGCGTGAAATTCGGTATAACGATTAAGATGAGTGAATGCACTTGCACCACTGAGGTCGATTCCGAGCTAGATCACCTAAAGTCTACAACCACTGATTCCTATCATCTCAGGGACCCTATTTAGGCAGTCTAAATCTCCCCACACGGTTCGTACCACCAGTCAGGGACCTTATCGACCGGCGTCACGTCTTGTTCTGGTCACCCTGAACCCTGTTCCAGCATAACCCAACTTCCCCTAGCATGGCATGTCGAGGTAGGCGGTGACTCGGCGTGTGCAGTACATGCCCAAGCCATCTCCGCCAATAAAGATTCACGACCTCATTAATCGATTTGGGTGTCCTGCTCATTAACTCTTCGCCTGACCTCAACAATGTTCATACGGTGATTCTAACGAACGTGAGAAATGCTACGAAGACCCTTGCGATCAAATACCCGGTAACCGTTTCACTTATTCTACTTTCAGCGGTCATATCTCACAGCCGTATAACACGATATAACAGACTGTAGAGCAGTATACTCGTCCCGTAAACAGCAGCCAGACGACTCGCCAGAGCCAAAAATGAAGCAAGTTGGCAAATGCCAACCGAACCCTCTGTATCCGAGCTGAGTTTCGTCAGCGACCATTGTGCTCCGGCTGATGTAACTTCTCAAGTGAAGTGGTCGACATATTCAGCCACTTCACTACTCACCATAAAACCGGGAGTAGTTGAAAACAGGTACTGGAACAACATCCCACATCTAACAGGTGCGAAATGCATGTCAGTCAAACACAGACAGATTTCTACTCAACGCGTTCACAAGAACCTGTATTTTGTCAGCGTTTTCATCCAGCGGGATAATGTTGTTTGCGTACTCAAAGTCAATCACAGTCTTCAGCGAGAAGAACAATCCATGTGCAGTCAGATGTATTCAAGATTGTTTGTTAATACTACTATAACGAAATTAAATAGGAACGGTGAGCGTGGGCATCCCTGGTGGACACCACTAAAGGTCTTCAATTCTGATGACAACTCTCCATAAGCCTTTACACGACTGTGTTGGCTAGAGTAGAGAGCTGTCATCAGCATGACATACTTGCTCGATGTTCGCTAGACACTTAGACACTAATAGAACACTTCTGGGTTGATGGAGTCAAATACCGCTTTCAGATCAAGAAATGTGACTGGTATCAGCCTGTGTTCCATAACCCGTCCAAGAGTAAAAATCTGATAAATGCACCCTCGTCTAGGTCCGGAACCTGTATGATTTCCTCGAGTTTGCTGTCCTTGAGATCCAGTTAGGCGTCGTGTAACTATGGACCCTAGAACCTTGAACACAATATTCGCGAAACTAATTCCTTCATGGTCGTCACAGGAAGACTTCTCTTTCTTACTATAGATTGGGAGGATCAGTGAGGTAGACCAGTCTGACAGTACTACCTGTGATTCTCATACACCACCTAGTAACTCTGTTACTCTAATCAACAATTTCCTACCTCCATCCTTAAAAACTTCTGTTAAAAAATCATCAGGTTCTACTGCTTTGAATAGTTTTAGGTTAGAAACAGCCTTTTCAACTTCAAAGAGATTCGAAGTGTGCATGTTTACATGCCATTTAGATGAGTTGGATACAAAAGCTTTGGTGTAGGCCAGTAGAACTTTTCTTGAAAATGTTCTGGCCGGCTGTCATGAGACCTTAGGGCTCCATCCTTTTCGGTGGTTTCTGGTACCAATATACATAATTGTCTAGTATTACTTAGTGCTAATGACTTGCCCATCTTCTTCGCCACACATCAACAAGAAACAAACTTGAAGTCGAGAAAAAATCCAATCAGCAACCCTGTGTACAATCTTGCACTAGACGAGTCACACCCATTATGTGAGGGATACTGATACTACCTGGCTGCCCAATACTTGGTAGGTGCAGCAGGGCTCGAACCTGCGACTGTGGTTGAAAGTTAACTCTCTAAACCAATGAGCCACAACTCCCGACGCACCAGTGCTCACGATCATTGAGAAGACTTAGTCAATCTGTGTTTGATCCACTTTCGCTCTTCATGGTGGTCAGGGACGGCTGGAATGATTTGTAGAATACGACCGCGTATGTCTCAGGCATGTTTTTGTTTCACTACTTGCTGATGGCTGCAAATAATGAAGTATCTACTGGACTGGGATCATGAAGATTCACGCAATCGGGCAATTAAGTCAGCTATCATCATGCAGAAACCTAAACTCGGACGCAAAAAGTCAGTTTTCCACTGGAGAACGTGTACTGATGCATCGGTGAGAAATAAAACTGCCAAAAAACGTATACAGAACGGTAATATCTTACTGCACTGATGGCACACCGCCGCTAAACACAAAAGAAACTAAGGTTGTCGATTTTTGATTATAGATGTCGCTGTAGCACTTCCCACAAAGTAATTAGCGTTGAAACCGTGCGATGAGTACTGAGTATGGAAAAAGTCGGTGAGGTGGTTGGGATGGTGCACTTGCAATAAGACTCTACCTTCTTTAACTACTACTGTTAGGCAAAGAAGAACCAATTAGGAGAGCTTCAAATGGTCAGACCAAAACCCAACAATGACCAACAAATCCTTTGACTTTCACGAGAGCAGAGTAGGATACTGCATCAAGATTCCGTAGGCGGTAACAATAAGCAGTTAGCAACCTAATTACATAGATTAAAATCGACCACAGTATCACAGATAAATCCAACCCACACCACCTTCACAATGTTAAATACTTTAAACCATCAGTACGTCATTCTCTTATAAATACCTTTATCCGTTTATTTCAACAGCTTTTGAGATGTCTGTGATCTGTTCTGCCTTGAACTATGCTTAGTTGAAATTATAAAATCTCAAGTAAGAGTACAAGTAGTAGTTTTTGAAATCCTTTGATTAAGAAAACGAGTGTACCATTCCATTTGCATGAAACAGAAAAATTATAGTTCCCCAAACCAAAAAACTGCACCAATTTATAAAAAGTATTGTCTTTCTTTCTATGATAGGAAGTTAAACGATATCGAAAGAAAATATAAAGGTCTAACTAAAATTACCTTGCTGTATCGAAGAATCTATAGACATAGGGTTCCTGTCGTAAACAGCACCAGCTGACCGTCCTGGAATGTGACTGGAGAACATATTCTGTTGACCTTTTACTATCGGCCTTCCAGGCGGTCCTGAGGCGAAAGGTTGTGGTCTAGGTAAGTCAGGATACAAAGCTAAACTCAAGTTTGAACAGAAATATTGTCATTACCTGGGGACTGAAGCTGTGGTTTTGAATAAGTTACATCCCTCGTTCCATCCCACAAGTTACGAAGAAAACCTACTGAATAATCGATAGAAAAACTTGTACCTTGTGATGGTGGACCCACATCAGAAGCCAAATTTCGAGGCATATCTGGACGCTGCAGCTGATTAATACGCCCACTTGCTGAGACAGAATCAGCCTGAAAAGTGGAAAAATGCGTTAAACAAATGAAAGAATCAGGTGGAACAAAACGAAACAAACGAGCACAAACCATTGCCCTAAGCCATCGATAGGCCTAAAATAAAAATACAGCAATCAATAAGTGGAAGTCCCTTAATAATTAACAATCTGAGAATTTACATACCATAGGGCCTGAAAAAAGTCCAAAGGGTGAGGAGTTATGTATGTTCATTGACTGAGAGCAAATTGGCCTTTGATGCTGTGTTTTGATCATAAGTGATTGTAAAATGGATACCAAATTGGAAGTCGTTTCCGGCTTAGCAAAATGTTCATCGTTCTTTGAAGAATCGATAGGCACACCGTGAGATTTAATTGCTTGGTCATCTATCAGTAGAGGGACTGAGATTTGAGGTAGCGAACCAACAGTTGTATTAGCTGGTCTGATTACATCTGTTAAGCACTCGTGAGGTGACTTCAGTTGGGCCTCAATTTCTTCAACAGTGAGTACTTTTGGCTTCGATTCTAAAAATGTACACTCAATGAGACTTTTGGGAACCACCTACCACTGAATTCCTTTTTTTCGTGATCAACACTTGGTACCGCGACAGCGCTACATCCAAGAAGGATTGAACGAAGTTTGTTTTCGACCTGAAGAGCTACAAAATTTACGTATGTTACATAAACTTGCCACTATTCATCTCAAGACTGTGAAGACTTGAAGGGTCTCCACACGAACCTTTCAGTAGCTTTAGTAGCTGAGCATTGATACTGTCTAAAGGAGCTTGCTTTTGACTATAATTGCTGGGCCGTGTGTTCTCATCTGATGATTCGTTCTTTTGAAAAAGGTGCTTGAAACGGCTTCCTTGATTCTCGACTAGAGGAGCCGCAGCACCTATAGCGCCTTTGGTTGGTATTTCTGAAAAGACACCACTTTTGGACCCAGGAGGTTGTTGGGCAAAGACATTTGCTGTGCTGGTGTTTGCTTTTACTAGTTTGTCACCACCTATTATCTCTGACTTGCTTTTTATCTCGATGTTGTTTGCAGCCAAATCACTTTCACACTCCAACGATTCTTCCAGAATACCTCCAAGTTCAATAGTTTCGTTAACAGTAGTAGGCCCTTCAGAAAACCATTCAGGTTCATCTTCACTGTGAGAATTGGAAATTCTGCGCTCGCGACTATATCGATCATCTTTACCGTAATTTTTCGAAAAAGGTATTCCTTCGGTATGTTTACTCGAACCACGATCACGGCCACGAACCGAATGCCCAGGACCACGAACGTCAGTTGAGCGGTAGTCTTTCCTGTGGTCTGTAACTGCTCTAGCATGATGTTTGTCGGAAGAACGATGATCCGAACTAAACTTTGGCCAACGAGTGGGTGCGTTCGTATCAGACAGCTCACGACCCGGAGGCTGCTGAGAAACGTGACAACCAGTGTTCCATGTACGCTTCTGAGGGCCTAGAATTATGCTAGACGTATCTCGTGTTCTTTCTGCAAAGCAAATTCGGTGACAAATATATACAACCTACCACCCTGAGATTTAGTAGGATTATTAGGTTTCGTCCTTCCACGAGCTGAACGTAAAATGGAAGCATTTATACGAGAAAACTCATCAGTAATTTCGATCGACGAGACGTTATTTTTCTTAACTTCCAAAATTTCGGCCTGAGAAAAAGTTATCCTATTTAGTGCTCAGACTTACCCGAGTATACCTAACTCGAGAGCTCTTGTTTACATGTTGATCATCGGACTCGCATTTGTCCATTCGAAAATACAGAAGAGGATCAAGCGTCTAACAAGCGACCAGGTAACACCCAAAGTTACTTAGTACACGCCCTAACGACCGAACTTTTGATTAAGAATACATTCGGTACAAAGTCTTGAACAACCCGCTTTACAAACGCAAAGTGCCGCGGCATAGTGATTTGAACTGCGAACACCCAATAATAGGCTGAGAAATGGCAAGTATTCATTCAAGCGATAGTTAAATGGTCTCAAATGGTGTTATTTGCTGTCAATGGAAAAGAAGAAAATCTTACTTTACTGGCTTCCGTACCTAGAAGGAATCAAGTGGAAATTCCTCTTTTTGTAAGCCTACTTGCAAAAAATTAGTCGTTACATAGGACGACCAAGTAACTCATGATTGAGCGGAGGCACACAACATGCACAGGCATCGGTTCACCGATAGAAGGGTCTTCACGAAGCATCCTGAGCTGCCTTTTTAGGGTCAGCATTCCAAGACCTAACAACGGTTATACTGAATAGGAATGCTCAGGATGCACTATGGATGTTACTCTTTAAAACACAAAAGAAGTCGGTTTTCAACTCAAGTCAAACTCACCGGGTCGGAGAACTTAGAAAGCACAGTAAACAAGTTCGAACAGAGTGACAAGCAAATAAGGGGGGCCAAAATAAGTCTCCAGAGCAACTGAATCTCCAACAGACCAAGGGAATCACTCACAAGTTTGTCAAACAAGCGAACAAGACCAAAGTGGTGGGAAAAACTACAGTTCAGCAAAGAGCGCCCAAGTGTTGGTAGTTAATCTAAATAATCACTGCCCGAAGTGATACTATGATCATCGTGAACCTAATACATAGCCCCAGTCTCCAATGTTGCCCTCAGGATAAGAAGGATGGGCCTCTGCGGGAAAACGCACGCAGCAAACTTAGCTGAACCACGCTAAACCCAAAGCTGCAATCAGGCTGTCATATGGTCCTGACCCAATAAATAATGATAAGCCCTAACTCTTAAGGTTGACATTCTCAAACTTGTGGTGTTGAGAGTATGATGTTTGTGTCTCACGGGGTAGAAGTTGAAGAGGAAGTAGGGATTCTATCACATATACTATGCTCCAAGAGGATGACAATAAAGAAGCTCTCAGGTGACGGTCATGAAGCATACTTTAGGGGAAGCCACCCGATAATGCAACAAATACTTGAAGAATCTGAGTACCAAGGGCCTCCACTGCGACTCCCGTGAGTGGAATTTCATTAAAGGTAGCTTGAAACTCATGAGAATGAGAACACAGAACGGCTCACTGCAGTAAAGCTGGTCGAGGTGCCCTCTGCTTAATCTCAGATGGCAGAACCTGTATTGGAAGCATTCTGGGCGAGCAGAAATCGCCCACCACCTGGAGTCCGCATAGGTCACATGGTGACTGGCCACAATGAAGACACAAAAGAGTGTAGCTGGTTGTGCCTTTGGCAGACCAAATGGAAGCAAAAATAACGGGAAGGCACGGCGAACACTACACTAAAAGGCTGCACATGGGCAGGCTACCAGACCCCACACCTGTGGATTCGGCTACCCAGTCGAACGTTCGGGAGGGCAGAGGAAGTGCGTCCAAAGTAGATAGGATAAAGTGCATCTACACAGGTGCACAAAGTGTTAAGAACGGATTCGACACACCACCATATCTGAGTAAAGACACAAGCTCACCTTATCGGTGTTACTGAGACGTCGGTTTATTCTGAAGTATCACATCAGGGGCTGGTTGTTCCTGCCACCACACCGTTTCGCTATCTTAGGAAGGCTGGCAAAAGTAGTAGGACCGCACTTTACATGGGCCTCTCTCCTACGGCTCACCAAATCCGCGTTCAAATCTGAAGTGACTTGGGGAGTCAATCAGGGGCTCCATAAAGATCTCCAAGACCACAAAGTGCTTGGGGAGGGGCATTTATGGGGAGCTATCCGCTGGCGTACAGTTTGATGATCAAATAATAGAGGCAACTAGTTGCTGTACCAAACTGAAGCGCACACACACTACTTGTAGGAGACTTTCACCTACTGAGGGCTTATGGAATCTTCAAGTTTCTCTCGCGAACCTTAGGGTGTCTAGCCCCTTCTCTTTTCACCACAGTGTATGCTCTGTACATTCGTCCTCATTTAGAAACAAAATTCGCTTGCGATGTCCCCATGCTTGAAAAAGGACATAGCCATCTTAGAACGGGTACAGAGAAGAGCTACAAAGAAAGTGATTGGACTACGGCACAAACCGTACCCAGACCGCTTAGTTTCTCTTCAGCTGCACCCAGTACAACACCGGATGATCAGAGGAGATATGATCATGATGTACCACATCGCCCATAATCCCCTCCATCCCAACAGATCCCTTCTAAACTTTGGTCGGAAAAGCGACCCGAGGGGTCACCCGTTAAGAATAGAGCACGAGAGAGCACGTACAAAGATCCGTGCTAACTCATTTGCAGTTAGAGTCTGTAAACCGTGGAACTCATTCCCTTCAGTAGTTGTTACGGCCCCATCCCTTGATACTTTTAAAAGGGGGTTAGGAGCACACCTCGAGTCCTATGGTACCGACGGCCTGTATTCGAGAAGCCTTCCCCAGATCAGATGCAGTAATACTAACTTGAGACCAGATTAATTAATTAATCGAATCCCTATCGTTTCAGGTTTTTCAGAACGGGGAAGATAGTTGTGACCATTCCAAACTCAGAACGTATTCCAACAAGACAGACGTAGAACCCAAGGAACCGCAGTTCGCTAATTTTACAATATGAAGTTTGAAGTTTGAGGATTAACTTTGAGGACCATACGTTTGGCGGGAGTGACAATTGCACTGAAGCCTGGTTTTTCAACTTGACCGGGTAGCTGGGACATGTGGAAAATGGGAAACCAGTAACTGGATGGATGGAAACTCAAACCACATACTGCTTGGGTTGCATATTAGCAAATGAGGAATTCCTGGTCGACAAATTGGCGATCTTTTCTCCTTTGAGCACGAGTGAAAACGTTGTTATCGCCTCCTGGTATATCTGCAAGGTCAAACTGACCAGACACTTCAATAAGTGTCGTTGAAAGTTCAGAACACTCTACCTCTTCGAGCGACGCTGAGACAGACAGAATGGGAAGTTAACAACGCATGCAGGATGCGAACATCCACTGGAGATTCAGACTTCACAAAATCATGCATTCCATCAGGCAACCTGTTCTACTTTCAACGCCGGAGTGTTCTAAGACGCCTCAGATAATAAGCATCCCACTCCTGAGCCAGTTGGGTTAATAAGACACCACTGGGCCGAACAAAATATTGATGGTGCTGAATACACGCATCGAGTGTTCAAACAAAGAAAGCACGAACCCTTTGGCGGTTGATCGGTAATTGCACCAAGCTAAGCTTGCAAACACACCAGTTCCTAACCTCGGAAGTCTGCCTCCTATGCTGCACCATTCCGGTGGTCTAAAAAGCATTTCCTCCCCAAATTCCGGACCCCAGTAGCAACACAGTAGTAGCCGAACTCCTAGCTGATCAGTGCTTGCGAATCTTCTCACCAATGACCTCTCTCAATGAACATCCTATCAACAAAGTAGGGCTCAAGATCAATGGCTTCAGGGTTCAGCTAGTGCAGCTCAATCCGTCATCACTCACAAAAGGTGTTTTTCCGGTACCGGATAAAAGCCATACGGCCACACTGCGGAGGGGAGTATCCATCTTGACTGACCCCTAAAGTAGGTTATTTAAGGATTCTGTAGGTCAATGGAGGTGTCTAATCCTCGGAAGTTGGGTGACGTAAAGTCAGTCTTCAAAGGAGGTCAGCGAGCCAACCCGAAGGAAAACAGGACGGTGACGCCCTCATCCATACCTCTCAAATTAATGAAGGACCACTGACCATAAGGTTCCCAAACCCCAACGACATAGATCTAGAAAAGGGCATCCCTGGATCGTCAGTCTGCCCACCGTAGCAGATAGACGGAATTGTATTGTCAGCTATCGGGGTAGAATTGGTAGCATCAATTTAGACTTTACTAAGGCCCTTGATCGTGATAATCACAACTATCTTGTTGGTAGGTTAGAGTTAATCATAATCAAACCACTGTTCACTACCTAGTTGTCCTCGCATCTGCGAGGTCGTTTATTTAGTGTTCAAGCGAATTGCTCTGCTTTTGAAGAAAAAGGATGTCCCAGTGGAGTTCCCCAGGATTCATTACCGGGTCCTCTTATTTTTCAAATGTTGATAAAAGACTTTTTTCTACAGGCTTGTTCTGGGCCCCTTTTGCTCGATGATATGAAACTGTGGGAAGGTATCAAAAGTGAGTAGGGTACTGTTTCTCTACAGAAAGACTTAACCCAACTTCAAGACTGAGCCGTCAACCATAGGCTGACATCCAACCCTGAAGAAAGCGAGGTTGCGCGTTCAAAACATGGCAGCTTTCATGTAAACGGTCTCAACAGCACGGAACGTGAAGCGTCGCAGACAGAGAGGGATTTGAGTGCTTAAGTCCCCGAGGACTTAAAATCCTGCCCCAAATGTGACAGAAACGCATTTCGCGGAAACTTTGATTCCTTATATCCCAGACTAGGTGTAGGACAATTGGATCGTAGGTACCTGCACCAACTTTCCAATAGCTTCGTGTGGGCCTACTTGGAGTTCGTGTCTGCTGTTTTGACCCCCCCTCTACAGAACGACAAATGAGGCCGAGAATGCATCCAGAGGCGCTCGACCAAATCTGTTTCGGGGAGTCAGGCCTAGAAATGAGAAGTAAGACCGATTGGACTTGATCTGTGTTCCCTGGAATATAGAGGATTAGGAGGGGACTTGAGAATATCTCGCAACATCTTGAAAACCCCTGAATAATCACACCTTTCCTTGGTAAATCCTAGCCGCAGTACCTGCCTTAGAAGACACATAACGGAAACTAAGCCTCGAACATGTCGGATGAGATCTCACACGCAGTTTCTATTGCCTAAGCGTTGTTGAATTCTAACGTGCCCCCTTGCAGATGTGGTCCAGGCTAATTCATCCGAATCCATTAAAAGCCAGCTTGACACTTATTTAAAACTTGGGAGGGATCTGCTCAGAGCTAACCGGAAGTTTAAATTCTAACCGCCTCCCTTTTCTCTCACATTACCTGCACACAGGTTGACAACCGTAGGAACTACTGATCCGAGGATTCTAGGCTCGGGGGCCAGTCAGACAGAGGGTTCTGCTACTCTGTTAATTACCGCTTGAACTGCCTGAGCCCCTAGGAAATAGTTGTGTGGGATGTCCAACGTGCTATGTCCGAGGCTTGACTTCAGGAAGCCGTCCAGTGGTGGTATCGCCACCATGGTTGAAAAGGTGATCAAGTTGGTGCCTAGGAGGGCCTAAGATACTCTTAGCCATTACTGGACCCTTTAGTTTCCTATATTCAGGAAGAAATAGATCGAGCTCTTTCACTGGACAAGGACCGCGGTCTCGAAATATATAAAAGGGTGGTTTATTTTCATTTTCCCCGCTGCTTGCA